CACACTGCCCACAGCCAGCACATCCTGATGGCCAGCGCACACTGTCCGCCCTGCACACCCTGATCACGGCCAGCACATACTGCCCACCCTGCCCATGGCCAGCACATGCTGCCCGGCCAGCACACACTGTGCACGGCCAGCACACCCTTATGGCCAGCGCACACTGCCCACAGCCAGCACATCCTGATGGCCAGCGCACACTCCCCTGACCATGACCAGCATACCCTGCCCGCCCAGCACACACTGACCATAGCCAGCAAACAGGGCCAGCCTCGGGCCTCCCTGCTTCCCTGACAGGCCTGCAGCAGCGCCTCCCCACCGGCCACAGGTCAGCTAGCTCCCAGTTGTTACCCGGACTGACGGGGGGACCGAGGGCGCGGCTGACCCCCACTCCTCCACCCTGCTCAGCCCTCCAGAGATGCATGCCTGAACCCTCGAAGCCCCGCCGTGCAGCCGGTGCGACCCTCACAGGGCAGCCCAGCCGAGACTCCCTACGGACAAGGCTGCCTCCTCCCACCGAGGGGCAGTGGATTCGAACCACCGACATCTAGGTGAGCGGCGCACGCCAGGGCCTGGGAGGGGGTTGGCTGCGGCCCAGGGCTGGGTGCCGTCTATGACCAGGTGCCCGCGCTGACCAGCCCCCAGGCCCCGGCAGCTGCAGCCCGGCCGCGGTGCCCACCGCCCCCGCCGCCCACGACCACCCCAGGCGCGAGCGGCCGCACGTGGGTCCCGCACCTCGGAACTGCTCCACGGCCACCTCCCGGGCCACCAGGTCGCTGTGCGCGTCCCGCAGGCGGCCGAGCAGCTCGCGCGTCTCCGCGCTCTCTCCGAACGACTCCAGGGTGCTCCCGCGAGCCAGCGCGTCCGACTCGCCGCCCGCCGCCTCCCCCGGCTGCTCCGGGGCACCGGCCGCCGGCTCCTCGCTCAGCGCCATCCTCGGCGTCCGCGCCACGGGCTGCAGGCCGCGACCACGCCCGCTGGCTTCCTCCCCGCCTCCTGCGCCCACAGCCCTGGCTCCGCTGGACACCGAGGACCACGGCGAACGCGAGGCGAGCCCGAGGCTGAGGAGTCGGAGGAGGAAGCGGCGCCAGCCCCGCCCCACGACCTCCGACCTCACGCGCCGCCCCTGCGACGGAGCGCGGCAGGCGCCAAAATTCACGACCGCGAGCTGCAGTCGGGCCCGGGCCTGGAGAAGGCAGAGCCTGGGCGGGGCGCGCGCGCGGCTGCCAACAACACAGCGCGGGTCTAGAGCCGGGGTCGGGGCTAGGACCCCAAACAGGGCAGCGCCAGGTGCAGCGGAGGACGGAGCGTGGACCGCGAGGGCGCCAGGAGCCCGAGTGAGGAGCGGCTGGTGCGGAGTCTCAACCAGTTAGGGAAGTCTGCGAGGATCTGAGGTCGGTGGGCATCAGGGTGTGAGCGAGGGTGGAAGAGGGGCGGAGTCTGAGCCTGCGCGTGAGGCCGGTCTTCTGAGTGAGAGGAGGGTTTGCTCTGTGGGCGGTGTCCACTCCTGGGTGAGGCCTTCTCTGTGGGGCGGTGTCTGCTCCTGGGCGGGGCCTGATCTCTGGGTGGGGTCTAGTACTGGGCGGGGCCTGCTCTGTGGGCGGTGTCCACTCCTGGGTGAGGCCTTCTCTGTGGGGCGGTGTCTACTCCTGGGCGGGGCCGGGGCTGGGGTGTGTGTGTGTGTGT